GGCCATTAACCTGCTTAACGGTAAGTAAGAAGTTCAATATATGTAAATATACTTTATACAACAAGTGTAAATACTAACTACTTTGTACAATTTTTTCAGTTACTGTATGTACATTCAACATCATGTGCACGCATTCAAGTCGAAGACGGGACACTCCTTTGAGGGCATGGACGATGGATTTGTTGAGGAAAAGGCAAGAGGTTGATATTAGAGGTGGTGGACTGGGATATGCACAGGTTAAACATGTGCCGAACATCGAGCATGCACCAGTTGACAAGCATGGTGATCCGGGTATGAAAGTGAAGGCTACTGGGGAATCAAGTTGGCATAATCAAGAGATTGACGATGGAATGACGAATGAGGTAAATGTGTAAACTCTATACAATAGTTTGTGTATATTTATTTATAATACAATACGAGTTAGATGTTTGTTTGCTTGACGTTTTTTTATGTGAAAATGTTATTCTCATGTAATTTAGAGTACAATTTAATCCATACTTATTATCCGAAGTATTAGATTTTCATACCTAAGCAGTTTAACACTTTGAACTGGCTATTTTGTGAACGAACATATGTTTGTTACGTACCCAAATTCATATAACAGGGGCGCAACCGATACGGTACACCCTTTTTACGAAGTACTTTATTGTTGTAATTTTTAGAAATAAATCGGTGTGATAACATTGCATCAAGTTAGTATAAGTTCATAACATGAAACGCACGAAGTAGATGTTAACATTTTTTAGTACATATGGTATATTTGTTTGCTTTTTAAGAGTTTGACATTTTCTTTTTTCAGGAAATGCATTAAGAGTATATGGAATAAGATTCATGAGTTGTCTACCGCAAGAGATGAGGCAGATTTGCATCTACATCACTTATTGACCGTTTTCTCGGGGACGTTGAAATTGAAGAATTCAAGTATAAGTTGTCACAAGTACTTAAAGGGAGCCAATGGTACAACCAACCAACAGAGCCAATGGTCTACGAGCAGTCACAACCACCCACTGCAGATGCTACACCGCCAATGACGGGTCACGTGCTGACGTTGGCTATTGTTGAAGTAACACCTGCGAAGATGGAGACCATATCGGATGTTGATTTATTGTCCCCATTATCTCAGTTCTGGACAAGTCCGACAGTAATCGCTGAGGTTGATAGGGCTTCAAATGAGAAGTCTGCGCATCACACGAGATATAATATGCGGTCGAGTAAGCAGGCTGATCATACAGTACAGTTAAAGAGGCCATCATTCATCTCACAGGAGGACAAAGTTAGAAGTGTCCGAAATAGGACTATTGAGCAGTCTGAAAGTCAGTCACGAAAGATGTGTAAGAGAGGCGATGAAGGAGCAGTTTAATGGTATGCAAGGAAGTAGTGGAAAGCCACTTGTTGCTTATAGTGACATCGATCCACCATCGTTTGATCTGGGGTTAAGCCTATGCGATAAACAAGTCGTTCCGGTTGTGGATAGTACACGGGAAAGGAGGGATCCAAAGCTTAGTTTTAAGCTACAATCACCTTATGTTTCACGGGTTGTTACGTTTGACGTAACTAACAATGAACGTAAGCTACAAGAGTGGGTAATGCGAGGGATCAGTGGAATTATGTAAGTCACATCATTGAAATATTTTAATATTTTGTTATAACAAATATATTTTTTATTACTCGATGACCTAATATTATGATTGTAACTATGCAGTGAGCCAGTCTTCTCCTCACCAAACGGACTAATCGTTACACGGAAAGCAATGCAATCACTTGCATCCCAGTCCCGGGTTTGCAAAGATGTTTTGGACGCATGGTCAACAGTCCTCAACAGGGAAGAGAGATTAAGGAGCCATGAATCTCCACGCCGCCTTTTCTATCCGACATATGTTGCGGTAACTTTACATACTACCCAAGTTTCTTATTCAAATGAAAAAATGTATATGATCAAATCAATGTGCAATATCAAAGTAACAGCTGTTATAATTAGCATTGTAGGTGCTTACATTTTATAGTGTAAATGTCTACTTTGTTATTGGATGTCGACATGTAGATTCACGTACAGTCGAGTGATAGTGAAAGCGAGATAGCATGACAGCAGGTCACGTAACCGAAACATATGTACGGGGAGTTCACATTATGCATGCCCACATGGATATCACATGAGACATATGCACACGTAGTTCACATGAGACATATGTCCTAATCATATCACCAGACAGAGCCTGAGCATATTAACACATAGAGCCTGACCAGCTGAACAACATGAACAACATTGGTTCATTTGTATCGATATGAACCAATGTGTGATCATTACGTTCATTAACTATAGTTCACACGATAAAGGTTCACTTTTGTGTTCGTTCATGCGATTAGTTGACCCGCTGCCACCCTAAATTGACTACTTGATGTGCACAAGGATGTTCAAAACATTGAACAATATGTTACCTGGGACACAGCGGACGTGGATTCATTCATCGGCTATGTATGAATCGACACACGTGACTGAGTGTTTATGCAAAAAATGGGCGTGTGCGTTCATTTGTGCATGTACGAGTCACATTAACTCTACCCATATGTCCACCGAGGTTGCATACAGTTGAACAGATTCGAATTACCTTGTTCACAGTTATCACAGATACTGAACATTGGGTGATGAACTTGTTTGTATCGATACGCATGAGCACATGATCGGGCTCTGTGATTTAGGTTAAACTCTAGTGGGTGATGCACCTATCACCCGAAATATGAGATATACGACGTGAGGATCGTATACACACCTATCCGGTTTTAAACTGTGATGAAGTACTATTCACAGCAAGCACAAGACCAACGATATAAGTAATATGAGATAAGTGTTCACAACAATAACAGACACTGATCATTTGTTATTTTAACGCAAAATATAGGTCGACCTTGTGAACATACGACTTCATAGACTTCCTATAATTGTTATGCATACATGACCGAGTCGGATCATATATTCATCTGAGCTACTGGTTCACATGTCGGGATATGAACACAGACATGGCATGCTGAACGAAATTATGATTTTATTCATGTGATGTTGTTGTGCATTTATGAACACATTCTGCTTACTATGGTTGTTAATATGTTGTGTGTGGCCTTTGGTCTTATTATCACATGACATGTAATGGAACTATTCATGTGCGTCAACATTTCAATTATGCTGCGTGTTCATACAGATTATCAGCAATGAACCAAAACACCTTTGCGTAGTTGAATTGTAAAGTTTCATATGTTAATACCTCTTATGTAAATCTACAAAGAACACACGTCTTTGTTAAGTGAAACTAACTACCTTGTGTTGTGCGCAGATGGATCCAATCATGAGAGATCAATCTTTGGATGTGCACAAAAGGTACCAGATTTTCAAAAATATCATATCAAGCTACACACTAAATGACAAAGGGCTGATCGGTATGCGTAATGTTGACATGGTATGTATCACATTTTGGTATGAAGATAATTGTACAATACCTGAACGCGTATTGAAATACTAACAGCTAGGTTCCATAATCATTATATAGATATTTTTCCCGGTCCTAGAAGATGCGTACTATTACATGGTAGTGTTTGATCTAAAACACCCATCAATCATGATTGTTGACTCCACGGATCGTGATGGCACGATTGAAGATATCTTTGGATCTATTACTATATAAGTATACTTTATTATTAGTCTTAGAGTCTGGATGCACAATATGCACCATATCTAACTATATTTATTTATGATTTATTCAGCAAGACATGTTGATTATGCATCTAATGAGAGAGGGACATGAGGCTGGGAAAATATATGCAGAAACGGACCAGGAAAAGATCCAAACCAGGTGGCAGTCCCGTGAAGGATCGATCGACTGTGGTGTAATGCTCATGTGGCATATGGAGACCTTTTTTGGAGGTGACATTGGGAAATGGGATTGTGGTCTGTATAAGGAGAGCACGAAGCAAAAGCGGCAACTCAAGGATTTACGGACTAAGTATTGCTCCAAACTCATACTCAATGAGGAGAACATCAAAAAGAGTGCAGTCATAAAAGATGTACATCGATTCATCGCAATGGAGACATCATACAATGCGAAGAAGCATGGTGATACACAAAAAGGTCGGGGGAAAGGGTAGATGGAATTTGTAGTAGGTGTTGACATTATAATATTTCTAGTTTTTATTTTGAACTTTATCCTCTAGTTTAGTTATGTTAGGGCAATAGTTTTGGGACATGAAACTGCATCACCTTTTTTTTTTTAAATGAAGTATGTCTTTTGAACACCCTGATGAATCTTATAGCCTATAGAACATCTACATAAAATGGTTTTCTGTTGGTATATTTGGTCAATTACTTTTGATGCAGGGATTGATATCAGGTGTTAAATTCTTCCTAAAATTGAAGTTATCCTATGTTTTCCGCTAGGCCGAGGTGATACAAGGAAAAGTTTAGACAGTTGATACGGGTGTACTTTTTGATAATGTGATTAGTTATGTGGATTTAGTGAGTTATTTGGTGACTATACCAAATGCCCAAACTGTTAACCGACTTAGGGTATGGTTGTTTATGTATTGGTWCACCAMTACCGATAGCTTAATCCATGTATGACTTAATCCAAACAACCAAATAGCCCCTTACTGTTAGTTACATGTTACTGTATCAAAAATACAATTATTGTTAAACTCTGTCTACATGTGGCATTATAGTAGGTGCTCAAACGTTTAACTGTATAAACTTTCATCTCGAAAAGTTATTGAAAGTGTATATGTTATTCACGGTGTCACATACACGGTTGGAACATAATGTGATATTAACGAAAAACACATCCTTAACGACGCATGACATCTAAAAAAACTAAACATCATAACCAATAGTCTGAATAAACATCCTTAACGGCGCATGACATTAAAAAAAACTAAATGGCATAACCAATATTCTGAATAAAAACAAACAAACCGAAATCTAAACTACAAGGCAACAACGTCGCACGAACATACGTCAGTTAGACAACAGCAACTAAGCAACGGAAACGATCCTAAAACATATGTAATTGAATGCTAACTACTCTATCAATTCTGGGCAATTACATGAGTTGTGGCCACTGCGTTGTCCACACGTTGCACATTTTCGTTTTGCTTTTTTGCTGTTATTTTATATTTTTTCGGACACACTTACCAGCCTCTTGCCAGTGCCACAACCCTTGTTCCATATTCCAGACGATGGTAGGATGTCCACCTCATCAAGTATGGAAACACCTAGATGATCTCTAATCGCATCCAGCTTTTGTTGTGATGGGTCTTCGTATGGAACTTCCTTCTCTATATCACCCATGAATTTATCGAGGTTACGCCCCAGTCTAGCCAATATATATTTATCATTACGGGCGATGCTTACTATGTCATCGACTTTGGAATATACATCAATTATACACTTCTCTTTTTCGGCATCAACCTCACCATAACGCACTCTTGCGGATTGTATCTGTACTGGAACTAACTGTCGTTTCCAACGACGTAATACGTATTTTTCCGGAATGGATTCAACTTCGTCGTTTATCAGTACCTTGAACGCATGACGACAAAGAGACCCGTTACGCGTGAATAGGTTGCAATCGCATTCAACTGTGTTTGTTGAGTAATTACGGCACACCTGTCGTGTCAGAAATGGTAAAAACAACAACAGTCAAATAAAAATAAAAAAGGATAGGAATCAGTTTGTAGAAGGTGAGTTGGAGATATGATACCTGATACGTAATTTTGTTAGATGATATCTTGGTTTTGTGGCTTATCACGAATGACTTTAACTCATCACGGCATTCGACGGTCTCAATATTACAAAACCAAACAGCCTTCTTTATTTCCTTTTGGATGTCAAAAAACACGTTTCGACTGTATATGCTTGATGCATGACTTTCTAAACACAACGGAGTAGCAAACTTTGGATTAGTCGTCCTCATGACATTTTCGTGGATAGATTGTCTGTATCTTTGTTTCTCTATAGCTACATCGTAATTATTAAGGAATTGAACCAAATCAAACCAGTACGATTCGTATATGTTAATATACGAATTCGAACTCTCAAATCTTGATGTTGTTTTCATTAGTCCAGACATCGGCGTGTCCTTATAATAGGCAGGGATCCATGAGTGTCGAATTTCATACATCTCTGTGAACCAAGTATCCCCACCTAGATTGAATTGATGAATCATCTCATGCCAACGAGTCTCGTACTCCGTTGGCCCAATATGTATGTTCCATACGAGCTTGTTGATAACTTTATTGAAGTTAGGATCGTGATTAAGTGCGGCACTAACCTGTGTTTACAAGGATTCAACAAATGAACGAATAAAACAGAAACCTCATTTAAATACAATAGAATTCAGTCGATACTACTTACCTTTGAAGGCACCTTCTTCATAATGTGCCACATACAGAGTCTATGCTTGGCTTCCGTGAAAACCATCGGGATAGCCTGCTTCATCGCCGAACATTGATCTGTAATCACGAACAAAGGTTGTTTATCATGACATTTTAGAAAAGCCTTTAGAACCCAAGAAAAGTTACCAATTGTCTAGCCGCTTATTAGAGCGGATCCGACAACAACGGACGCCTTATGGTTGTCAACAGCCAGGAAGGGAACGAAGATCATTGCATGCCTGGAAAAACGTATCGAATATTATGAGTTTTGTATTTGTAGCCACGTCATTTGATAATTAAAAAAATAGAAACGATGTGAAAGACAAATAACTGTATTGCACTTGGGAATCTTACTTGTTAGTGCGAAAAGTCCCGTCAAACGATATGACGTCATCGAATTCTTTGTAGTTAATTCTAGCAACTTCATCTGCCCAAAAAATTGCGCTCAATTCTTGTTCATTGCACTTGTATTCGAAAAAGAAACCGGGGACAATATCCCGTCTGTTTGATAATTTATTGATCAACATCTTCGCGTCTTTATTCCCAACACAAGCAACAGCATCCCTCTTAAAATTCTTGAAGTCGATTTCGGAGACTCGCGTATGTTCGAATACCCCGTTCAATGCGGTTTGAATACGGTGAGCCCTTCTCGCACCAACTTTGTAACTCGAGCTGTTTAGTACAGTTTTGAAGTCTGTATACTTCATCTGTCTATTTTTCTGAGAGAAACGACGATCATTAATATCGAACAATGCATGGTTATGTGCCTCAACAAACTCATAAATCTCGTAAGAAGCCCTATCCTTCGTCAAATGTATTTTTATACATGCATTACACCCAAAACGCTTGATGTTTGTATTGCGGTATCTCCTTTCACCGACATGCATATCCAACAAATCAAAATCCTTTTTTCTTGGGGTTCCCTGCCTGCTGCAGACCAACCACCTAGTTTGAATATCGCCGTGCTTGTTTGTTTTTTTTGCATGAATACAAACATCAAAGTCGGCATTGTCCGCGTAAGTCCTGTACATCTTTTCAACCTCATTCATCAATGCATATTGTGTGTTGGTATTTGGCTTCAGCGCGTCATCAACCTTTGGGGTAAAAAACTTTATTCCTTTTGAACTCTCGACTATATCATAATCAATTTCTTGTTGTGAAGAAATTATATTATCAGCACCTGGTGTAAACACAAGTTGTACATGAATCTACATGTCGACATCCAATAACAAATAGAGCCTTATCACATGAGACATATGCACACGTAGTTCACATGAGACATATGCCGTAATCATATCACAACCCCAGAGCCTGATCACATTAACACATAGAGCCGGACCATCTGAACAACTGTACAACATTGTTCTTTCGTAGCGATATGAAACAATGACTGGACAGGTAAACAAGTAGTTCACTTTGATACGTACGAACCTGACCATATTAACAACTGTACTAGGGTTGTTCATTGTGCTTATATATATCAGCATCCTCTTCTAAATACACCAGCTTGAATCATTAAACCATTTTATATATCATATGTAATGACTGCGTAAGGATTAATCTGGGTATTATCAAAACGAACGTGGGTAGTTGCATTAGTCATTTTCTTTGTTAAGTTTGAAAGGGCATTGAAAAATGATTAGACTTTCGAATCAAAATGTTCATACTTCACTTATAAGCAAACGCTATATTTATAAAAAAATAAAATAGAGAACAACATGTGTTTGTATAAAATAATGACATAAACACATAGTGGCCTTGTGTTCATATGTAGTTAAATGCATTTTCATCCAGCACCTTCATCATTGCATAACCGGAAACATTTTTTTCGAACTTATGCTCTTTTTACACCGATTTTGGTTTTCATAATGATGATAATAAATATGGACACAAATTCATCTTTACAATGGCAATAGCTATCCAATTAAGTAAAATAAACATTATATTAATCACTTACCAATCGACAAGCTTTGATCATCTTCTTCATCACCGGAATTCGAATTCCGAACGTAGCCGTATCCATGTTTAACTTCGCCATTTCCAATGTTATCAATATGATTTACGCTAGTATTATCCATATTACTCGGACGATACAGAGATCTTTTACACTTACATAACGAAAATACTTATGTGTATAACCTCACTTGACATCAAACTCATGAACATGAATGAGATAAAATTCATAATCAGGAAAAGAGAAAATCGAGGGATCTCCAAAGATTTGTAACTCCTAATTAAATATTAGGGAGTTACATAATGGTTAAATTACATAAACACCCTTGCATTAATTGTATATGTTACATTTAAACATAAAGAAAAGAATGAATTTGATTGGTTAGTTTTGGTTAGTATAGTTAGTACAAAATAGTTGATTAGTATTTGAACCACCCTTTATATATATATATATATATATATATATATATATATATATATTTATATTTATATATATATATATACACATATAT